TACAAAAAAGAAAAAAAATTCTAACTAGCTAAATTTTTCTGTGTTTATCTAAGAAATAAGTGGATTTCTAAAACTGAATTGGCAGAAGCTTGTGGGGAGGAGGGAATTGAATTATGAACTTGTCACGTAATGTGTGCTGCTGTACTGTTTCTGGAATATATCTAGAGAAATAATGCTTCTAAAAAACCTAGAGGCTTGCTTAACAGCCAGAATAAAGCTAAACTGCATCTTACCAAAACAATGAATGCCACTTAAATTCCTTTGCAATCCTATTTTAAGTTACTGTGCTGAAGTTCTAATTAGTGGCTTTGGTTGGGTAAAACTCTGTATTTCTTTAATTTTTGAAAAATGCTTGTTGTGTTTTCAGCTGGCTTCACAATGACTTGCAAGTGGCCCTTGTTGGCTCTCCTGTGGATTTGACCTACAGATATGAACATCTGGGAGAGTCCCCACAGATACTTCAGGACATTGCTTCTGGCAAGCATGCCTTCTCCAAGGTACACAGAACTTTAAGAGTGTAACTGGTAAATTCCTCAGGTATTGAGTAATAATCTGAATTCCCCAGAGACAGATTTGAAGAAAAGTACCATCCTGTAGATGGGGTTATTTGCTTTTAATCAGATGCAGAGGTAAAGCAGTGATTAGTGTGCACCAAGTATGTATAAACTGTGTAATACATTCAGGTGTGTAAAACTTTGCAGTGCAGGAAGCTCCTGGGATATTTCTTGACATAAACCAGGCTTTTCCAGTGCTGCTGTTTCCACTTAAATGTGTGGTTATTGAGTGTACAGTTGTGTACTGACAAGGTATTTTCCTGCTTACAGCAGTTTCTCTTGGCTTTATCTCTAAATGAAACAATGACCATTTTGGAACCGTAGGTTGTTCACTTACAGGGAAATTGGGGATTTATTACATTATGTGTCCCAAGAATTGTCTTTGTAGCTGTGGAGTGAATTTCTGATTGTTGGCTTGCACAGGTCCTGGACAATGCCAAGAAGCCCATGGTGGTGGTGGGCAGTGCAGCCCTGCAGCGCGGGGACGGAGCTGCCATCCATGCTGCTGTTTCCACCATTGCACAGAATGCCAGGGCCAAGAGCGGGGCTGCTGCAGATTGGAAAGTCCTGAACATCCTACACAGGTTTGCTTAAAAACTTTTTTGGGAGCAGCTTACTTGCACATTGGGCTATACAGGTTACCATAATGTATGTGTACAGATTGCTTTGTGTACACATAAGCAGCTTATTGGGTTAAAACCTGTAGGGAATATAAAAACCAGAAATACAAGCTAGCAAAAACTTCTTAATAAAAATGGGTTCTTTGACCTGGCTCTCGATGAGTTTTTATTAATTTATGATATTCAAGTGTAGAATTTAAGGTTTTAATTTAGGCATAGAATACAAGAGAACTTAATAACATCTACCACAGTAGGATGCACAGCAGACCAGTGTGGCTTGCTAAATGACTGCATTTTATCTAGAGGAAGAAAAATAAAATGGCAAGAGTATTTAAATAATATGGTTTCTTTGTAATAGTATAGTTAGAGCAGGGCTTGGGCCTCTGAATGAAACTTGAATATAACATTCTGCTGCTGAAACTGAAATACTTAGTACCAAAATAATGATGAGTTAAAGAACACTGATGACACAAGTGTGGTTTGGCAGTCTTTCATATTGACTTCCATACTTCTGGTGCACCATCCGTTCAACCTTATAGAAACCTCTATGTCTGACTGTGTCAGACAAAATGAATTACATTGGAAGATCTGTACTCTAGAGAGAATCTTTTTTCTTTTAAATAAGACTGGCACCTGATTATGGAGGATTATGCAAAACTGTTGCTTTGGAAAAGGAAGACTGCAAGAAAATGGAATTATTATTTCATTCTTCTAAAAGTATTTTTATGTGTGAATAAATGAATAGCGATGAAATAGTGGTCTTAAGTCTTTGATGATTTTGAGTAGCTGATGGCCCCAGTCTTTCATCTTCCACGAGTGCCCTAAATTAAAGGCTTGATAAGTTCCATTCATAGCTGAAATGTCATCTGGAGCATTGAGCTTCACCAGTGAGCAGCCTCCCACTAGGTCCCGACTTCCAATATGTGCCTTTATTTTTTGCTATCCCATCTTAAATAGGTGAGATTGCCTGTGAAAACTTTAAATGGTGTCAGGTTGTCAAAATGCAAAACTAATTCGATACTCTGTCAAAAATTCCAGCTGCCTTGGAGCTTCATGTTTGTCTTGTTACTGTTAGGAATCTCTTACATCCCTTCAAAATATTTCCTCAGAAAAAGAAGTTAGGTCTGTTCTGATGGGAGAGGGAGAATTCTGATATTGCTTACAGTCATGATGTATTTGTTCCTACAGGGTTGCAAGCCAAGTCGCTGCTTTGGACCTGGGTTTCAAACCAGGAGTGGAGGCAATTAGAAAAAGCGCTCCCAAAGTCTTGTATCTCCTGGGAGCAGATTCGGGTTGTATAACACGTCAAGACTTGCCAGAGTACTGTTTTATCATCTATCAAGGTAATTAGTAGATGTAAATTAAGAAATGTTGCTATCTCAATAGCTGGAGAAAAAGCATAAACAGTGGCATAAAACCACTGAGGAATTTTAGCCTTTGTTTTCTGCCAGGGAAAGGGAACTTATAACACATAACTGAGATACTGGTTACCTATTTCTTAGGTAAAGATTGGAAACTGTTGATGAGTAATAAGGGAATGTAAATCAGTATAGTGCTTCTGAAATATAGTTTCAGAGCTGGCAGACAAAACAGCATTAGTTTCCAGCTGTCGTACCAAAACATGATCTTATATTAATCTTAGAATCCTTGTTCCAAGAACCTCCCAAATCTGAGTGACTATAGGGACTGAAGTACCATTTACTCCTGCTTGTACTTCCCAGAGTATTAGCCAACTAAGACCTCAGAGCAGCCAGCCTCATGGGCTTCAGATTACTGGATAAGCAAAAGTTAGAAAATACTTTTTTCTGGGAACACAGAAATTCTTTCTTAGTAAAGCATTTCTTTTTATTTTTAATTACTTCTATTTCATGGTTGTGTACTGTTTCCTCTTTCCATATATTTAGGGCATCATGGGGATGTGGGAGCTCCCATGGCTGATATTATTCTCCCAGGAGCAGCATATACAGAGAAAGCAGCCACATATGTGAATACTGAAGGTCGGGCCCAGCAGACAAGAGTAGCAGTAACACCTCCTGGGATGGCAAGGGAAGACTGGAAAATTATTAGAGCTGTCTCTGAGGTACTGTTGCTGTTATAAGTTACCTCTGATAAAAGTATACTGAGAGGTTAAGTTTCTTTTTGTAAACATTTTCCAATCTAAAAAAAAAGGTAGATTTTCAGGAAAACACGTAGTTTGTAGAAGTAATGTTCTGTATTGAATCCTAGGTTAATTCTGTGAGTTAAATCATACTGTTTCCCTTTTGAAGATGGTTCTCATGTTGCAGTTGCTGTATGCTGTTGGAATGCATAATGGGTCAAGCTTTGCAAATTTAGCAGGTCTTTGTGAAGTACGTTCAAGGAAGCTGGTGGGAGCATGCAGTTTCTTGCTTTTTAGATAGAAAACAGCATAGACTCTTAAGATCAGGATCTGGTATCATTAGATGAGGTCAAATTAGTAATCTAAACCACTCTGAGTTAAATCCCTAGACCTGATGGCATTTCTTTCTGTGAATCTCTTCAGTTGGCTGGTTTGACCTTGCCTTACGAGAACCTCGATCAAATACGGAAGCGTCTAGAAGAAGTATCACCCAACCTGGTTAGATATGATGATGTGGAGGAAGCAAACTACTTCATCCAGGCAAATGAATTGGCAAAGGTAAGCAAAACTGAAGCATCTTGGCATGATTTGGTGCTGTTATATAGCATAATGCCTTTTTGAAAAATCTTCATATGTAATACAAAAGCATTTTTTGACCAACACTGAATGCACTGAATGCAGAATTCACTAAACAAATGCTTTGGTAACAAGCTCCTATCACATAGTTGACTTTCTTTTCCTTTCTTACCACAGTTAGCAAAGCAACAGCTTCTTGCTGATCCTCTTGTTCCACCTCAGCTCACAATAAAAGACTTCTATATGACAGGTATGTACAGTGTGGTCTTTCCATTGTGAAATCAGAACATTTTACTTAGCTTTACAGTAAGGTTCTTATGATTCGTTTAAAGCCTTCCACTAAGATACATAGGATTTGAGTCTTTTGAAGAAAATTTTTTTTTCAGTAAAACTATTTGGAATTTACATAAAGCACAGACTGTATTTTCAACTAAATGATTTTATTTATCCTCTTTGTATCCAGTCTTGTAATAAAATTATTTTGTATTTTTATTTGTAGTGTCTGTGCACTGACATGTTTGGATTTTTTTTTTTACAGATTCTATCAGTAGAGCATCGCAGACAATGGCCAAGTGTGTGAAAGCTGTTGTTGAAGGTGCCCATGCAGTAGAAGAGCCATCCATCTGCTAGAGACTAATCAGACTTCCACCACCTTCTTCTAGGTTTTTGTTGCAGTTAACTGCTGTGACTGATACATTTTTTCCAAAATCTATTTGACAGGCTGTTGTATTTTTTTTCTTCCTTCATTCACATTTTCATCGCTTCAAAGCCCCATCATACTATAGCACTGTTGTGTCTGAGGGAACATGCAGCACTCAGCTTACTGTACCCAGAGGCAGGGTACATGATGATTGTATACAAATAAATTATAAATACCAAGCCACCCCATTACCTGTGTAATTCATGTAGCTCATGCTTCTTCCATGAAAAGAATTCAGTAAGCAACTCAGTAAGTCTTGATTTTCTAGGAAGGGGTTTACATGGCAAAAACACTAGATTGTAATTTCCTTCCAGAGTATCCAGGTAAGTTAATATTAAACCCTGGTCAGACTGTGAACATGCTATTTTTGTAAGGTACTTAGAAAGCAAGTTGTTCCTCTTACCATTGGTTTATGCCCATGTTCAGACTTATCTCTGCTTTGGATACTTGTGTGTTTCTTCATTTAGTTTCAGTTGAGACTGTTCTTGGAGGAAATACAAATCATTTTGATGTTGTGGGAAAAAAAAAACAACAAACCAGCCTTTACACAGCTTCCTCATACTGAACTGCTTTAAAAAATAGTGGAAAGACTAAAGGCCTTTATACCAGTTCAAATACAGAAAAAAAATTCTCAGAATAGTTTCTCTGTGTATTGATCTTTATATAGCAAAGTAGGAGAAGGGGTTGTCTGTGGTATTTTTTAGTTGGGTGGTTGGGGGTTTTTTATGCTTTTGAATAACTTCAGAACAGTGACTTTCTCCTCTGTATTATGCTGGTTAATGTAAATTTGGAAGAAGGATAACTTCCTTTTCAACTGCCTACAAAAGTTCAGTGTAATTTTTCCAGGAATTGTGAATATGGGAACTGTATCATAAAGTCATAATTTCCAACTGTATTATTAAAAAGAAAGGTGTTAATTTTGCATGAGGCAAAGCTACACTTTTCAGTGTAGAATAATACTGCATACATGGGGGTGCTGCTGTAGAAGTCTTAGTTTTATAAAATTCCTTTTTTAGTCCATGCTTAAAATTTCTCAGTAACAAACATGTAACTTTTTAAAACATTGTTTTCCTTTTGCCCAGGGAGAAGACTCTTCCTGGTTATCCTGGTATATCACAGTGTCCTCACACCAGTTAAGTGTTCAGTGTTGGACATGGTTTTACTCAGCCTGCCATTTTCAGTTACCAGCAGGGACAGGGTCAGTTCTCGTGGCGGTGCAGAAAAGGGTAACTGTTCATTTTACTGAGATACTGCTATGTTAGCGAGGCAGCGAGGGAGACTGCAGTCTGGTTTAAATGTGGCAGTTCACAGGAGCAAGTCCAGCGTGAAACCTTCCTCCTGTCCTTGTGGAATGTTACTTTTTTAGCAGGAGCAGGGGTTTATTGGCACATAGCAAAAGAAAAATGTGTGTGATATATGCCAAAAAATAGGAAGAAGGGGTGTATCTGAATACTATATTCAGAAAAACATTTGGTTCTCAGGCTCGTAAGATAAAAAAGCTTTTCACTCTTCCCCCACCCCGTGTTGTACAAACACAGAGGAGTAACTTCAGCTGTGCAACAAGTCAGTTATCACTTCAGAATTTATAGAGGTTCAAAAGCTTTAGATTTTTTCCCCTTAAAGGTTGTAGCATAACTTTGGGAACTCTGGTATGCTTTTTGGTTTTTTTGATAGCTCTATGTCCTTCAATTAGTATATATAGTCGATTCTTGTTTCTATTCAAAAACTGTCCAGCCTTTATCAAGAAAGGCAAGAAGGGGAAGAAGTACATGTGGTGCTCTCTGTCTGTTTCTACTCTCTCTCTCTCACCTAACTAGTCAAGTACAGAATTTTTCAGCCAAACTTGGTAATAGCAGCAAGGTTCTCTATACATTTGACTGTTGGAAACTAGATAGGAAAGAGAAATCTAAATTAGCATTCTTAACCACCAAGTTTATAGCACAGCCCACCCCTTATCCCTTCTGTTTGCTCTGGTGGCTGGACAGTGGGTGCACATGAAGACTTTTACCAAGCTAGTGACAAAAACATAATAGGGGTCTGCCAAGGCACGGAAGTGACATAGGCTGGGCAAATATGTGAACAAAAATGACAGGAACAGGGCTATTCACACAACTCACCTCTGTTATTTAAGAGAAAAAGTTTACAGTCACTGCTGCTACTTGCTGGTCCTGAAGCTGCAACCTCAGGTTAGAGAATTATGAAAAAGTGGTGATGAAGAGCTGGGATGGTGGGAGATAAACATGCTCTGAGTATTGTTCCTGGTGGTTACAGTAAGGGCAGACCAGCCAGGTGATCACACTGCCTGAGCCGGCAGTGTGCTGATGCAGCTCACCCCACCTGCAAGGCTGGTGGGTGCCTTTATCCCGACTCTGCTGGGGTGGGCAGGGGCTTTGTTGCGCTTTGTTTTGGAGCTGAGCGCAGCCCCGGAGGAGCTGCAGTTCCTGCAATTCCCCGAGTGCAGCCCTGCTTCCACCTGGTGGCCAACCGGCAGAACTTCTCAGCGGGTGCACGGCCAGTTTCCTTCGGGTGCAGTAACCTTCATCTCGCCTGCTCCTGGGCACTCCTGCCTGTACTGCCTGCCAGGGAACAGCAGTGTGTCTGGAGAGAGATGGATGGGGTTGGTCATTAAGTATTCTCCTCCCTGAGCACAGCCCGGTGTAAACAGGACTCTGGTGTGCAAACTATTAGCCCCAGACTTAGATTAGACCTTGCCTTTTTGTAGTCTTGTCTTCAGCAGGTGGATGTGGGGAGAAGGCAAAGGGTGTTGTAATTCAAGGTAAGACCATACTATGCAGTTACACTTTCAAGCAAGTTTAAGCCAGGTGCATTCATTAATGAGAATCTATAACTTCAGGCAGATTTAAGGATCTAAGTAAAGCTGTCACTTCAAAACAAACAAAAACCAACCAAACAAATCCCCCCCCCCAAACAAAATCCAAACCCTGTTCAATAGCCACCTTACTGAAAGCACCAGCATCCCATGGGTGCATCCCTGTAGTTCCAAAGGGAGAGTGCTTAAAACCCTGGGCAGTGCAGTGAGCTGTTCCAATAAAAAGAAACATAACAGAATTCAAGTCAAACAGGCATGTCCTCAGCAAGACTCTGAAATGTCCAGCAAAATTAGGCCAGTCATAAAAATAGCTGGAACTGACTTACTTTTAATGTATTTTGAAGCATAGCTCAAGGCAGAAAAGAAGGTGTCTGTAGCATTTCCCCAAGAAGACTTTGGATCAGTGCCTCTTCTGAGGCTGATAAGATTCTTGCAAGACAATTTGCTACATGCTTGATTGGGGGATATGCTGTATTTTAATGTTGAAACCAACAGAAAAATAGCTCAGGGTCTTCCTCTAAAGGAAAAGCAGCGTGGCAGACCAGCATCAGCCTTAATCCAAAGGGGAAAGGTAATATAACTTCTTCTCTGTCCCCACAACCCTGCTCCTCATAAAATACTCCAAACAATGGCTAAGCCAAAACATCCTCTCCCAAAACAAGACAGTCTCCTAATAATTTGTTGTGTTGTCCTTCGAACATGCAGTAAGATGAAATTACCTTTCGTGGTGAAGGGTTGGAAGATGACTCTCTCAATGTGCTGACAGGACAGACAGAGAAAGCAAGAGAAGCAAATAGAAGAGGACTTCATGGTGACTACCAAAATGGAAAAAAAGTAATAAGTAAATGGGAATTCTGGAGAGTGGCTAAAAGCTAAGGATGTTCCTGACAACTGCAGTAAGCTTTTGATAAGGAGTACAAGAACCCCACAAAACATCAAAATGTGTAAGTTCTCCTAGAATTACCTGAGAAGTTTTAAAATTCCTATTTAAAAACAACAAAAAAAACCAAAGCCAAACACAAGACACAATTTTCAATTTATTAATAGATGTTAACAGATTATTATTATTTTCCATAAAATGCCAAATGGGTACAAGTACTTTTGTGAACAAAATACTGAATATTACAGAGTTACAAGGAAAACTTAGATCAGAAATGAACACCAAATCCTTCACTGTGTGTGTGGGCTTACACAAGTCGTGGTCCTTTCCGTTGTGTAAGGTTTTATCCAAAAGACACTTTACAGTAACACATATTAGTTGATAGAATGATGTCAGTGAAGTGTCCAGGGGTACCCAGGTTATTCCAACTCTCCATAGCTCAGGACCACAGAAAGATGGCCCAGAGAGACATAAATAACATATATAAAGTGTTGGAATTCAAACAAAATGAGTGATTCCATAATCAGCAAAGCCTGCTATGCTAAACACTGTTAATAATTATGTTTTCCTCCAGCTATATGTACACATCTATTCACAGTGCCTAATGCTGAGAAGCCTACTGAGATTTAGAGGCATTAAGAGGTAGTAGAGACATCTCCTCACTCAGCCAATGCTGAATTTTGAACATAATTAACTAATATTTCAAAGAAATAGTTTTATTTCTTCTTCTCATCATCTGTACACCTGTGTTTATGTTTGAAATGGATCAGAGATGAGAACCATGTATCAAAAAGAAACATACTAAGCACAAAAAACTTCATGTGTAACAAAAAACTTTCAAAATCCACTGGAATCCCATGACCCTAGACACTAATTAAGCCTTATGCTTTGATGTTAGATCAGCTCCAACTATTTTAGAAAAATCCTGTCCTGCATGCCCTTTTACTTCTCAATTATCCATCACAGGATATTCCACACCTTTGTTGGAAGCTGCTCTCAGAAGACTTAAGGGACCGTTGATTTGATCCAGAGCAGGAATTCTCATCTTTCCATCCTGCAGTGGTGACCAAGACCCTCTGCAACCTGAATATAAATGTATAACTGGACTAATGGCAGAGAGGACTGCTGGTAAAGTGTGGAGCTGCTTAACCACTACAATTACAGTTAATGAAATATCAATAGACAGAAGCAGATAGTAAAAATAAAATAGTATACTTTGAATTAACAGAGGGCTTCCCAGTGAAATGGGAAGGTATTAGAGCATTCTGCTGGGACAGCTTATTGCATTAATTTGTCCTCTATTTAAAGAGGTCTCCACAGATGCCCAACGTACTCTGGACAACCTTCCCACAATTAACAGTCTTACTGTTTTGTCTTTGCTGAGCTTTAGGAAGACAATACCATTTATTTAATGCAGATTAAAATACACATTGATAATGAAGAACAGATTAGTGAAGTCTTAGTTAATTACTATTTTCAGTACAGTTCACTATCAATTAATTATATTATCATGTAATAGCTAGCATACATCTGTTCCCAATTGGTTAAATACTTCTGCAGCTATACTCTTACTGAAACCCACAGCAAAATTCCCATTGCTGAAAAAAGCTTTAATGAAGCCCCTAACACTCAGGAAAACGAGGCTAGTCATGGGTATGTTGTGTTGCTTTGCTAGCATTTGGGGCTTTAAACAAAGTAAAGCAAAGTTACTCTGCTGTATATAGGGCATGTCCTATAGTTTCAGCTGTGCTATCTGCCACACAGGAGTGCACTAAAGCATGGGTATGAAGGAGTTTAGCAGCTGGTTTAAGAAGCCCAATTTATGCTGTAACTTGGGTACATTTCCTAGAGAAAAATCCTCAGATCATGGACAGTGTTTTTAACGTAAGGACTTTGTGGTTTGGAAAAGTGTCAAAAAGCATGCTGGTTATCAAATACATACAACTGCAGCAGAGTAACTGAAACCCAGATACGCAGTTGGTTGCTATAAAATTTTCATGTTAAAGAAATGTTGAAAAATAAGAATAAGCATTTTTTCAAAAATGCTAATATGCTAGGATTTAATGGTTAGCTTTACCCCAGAAGTTGCTACTATTACACAAACTAATACCACATCACAGCTGCTCAAGACATTGCTTAGAAGAATGTATCATAACTTTGGGTTTTATTTAATTTCTCACCCTTTTCAGTCTTTAAATGCCTAAAGACAAGATCTTCTATACAAATGTGGCTCTTCAGATAGAAGATCGTGAATTAACAGCTATACACTCAGAGTTGTTCTTCCCCTTCACAACATTCACCTGCATTTTAAATAAATTGCTAATCCCTTTAGCAAGCATTTGAAGACATTGGAACTGTTTCCTCAGAATGTGTCTTTCAAGAAAATACCAAAATGCTGACATTGTAACACTATTTGTGGAGAACCTGAGAGTCCTCACCACATGCACAGTCTAAGACATGCTCCAGAAATTCTTGAGGTCTGCACTCAGGGTGCGTACGACCTTGGGAGAGAGTCAAGGTTCATTTCTTGATGCAGCCTCCTCCAGTGACTGGTGTACAACCTAAAGCACCTATTTCACTGCTTTGTTAGACTCACAAAGCTTATTCACTGCACCACTGCCCTGTCTCACTACTAACACAGGTGAGACACATCAGCACAGAATGCCTCATTAGCCAGAACCTGTGATTTACAGAACATTAATGTTCTCTGACCACTCTGTGCTCAAGTGTACAATAAGTTTAGTGGATAGAGCAGTTGGTCAAGGGATGAGGTGGATTTAAATCAAGGCAGACAGACCCATTCTGAAGAATGCAAGTTCCAGAATACAATTCTGAATGTTGTACAGAGGACCTTTCGTGCTTTGGGTTTACACACTGTCCTTTAGAAATTTCAGAGTCCAATTTGTTCTCAAAACAATGAAAATAATATTTGCATCTCTTAGTAAGTTAGCGAAAAGGAAATTACTCTCAGGTAAATAAAATTTTGTTAAATAAATTTATCTATCCATGAAGTACAAATTTTTAATTTCTCTGTTGAATCATTACACAATAGTCCACACCACCAATATCTGGCAAATTTTTCCTCTTTATTTTCTACTCCTTAAAAAGATTGAATTACTAGATCTTAGGATGTCACCAAAATGTGAAATGCTACCATGACGCATGGTTAAATTTAGGCAGGCAAGTAATCTGACTAAAGTCAGTATCTGCAAAGGAAAACACATAAGCCCAAGAAAAGGTTTAATATTGTTTCTGTGCTCAGCTTCTCAAGCGAATTCATAGCCATTTCTCTAAAATGTTGAATTACCTGCATCCCATTTAAAAATACAGTTCCAAGATATTAACTGTGCTGTACAGATATTCTTAAGAGTAGCACAGAGACATGCAGCATAGATTAGTTGTTCCTGGTGTGCCTCTCTTCCTAAAACACAAAAACCATCTAAATAGCCCAATGAAGAGAACTTGAACTGTAATTGAATTATGCTGAACTACTGAATTAAGTTAAAAGCAATAATTCTCTTGTTTAACACAATGGTTAATACAAGAAATCACTTTGTACAGCAGCTTGAATTTGGTACTGTAGCAAAACCCTACTGACTTGGTAGGAGTTTTATGCAAGGAACTACAGTGACTCTTCAAGCACTTCTGAATTAGTAAGTGTTAGTAAGGCCTGCAAGCATGTGCAAAACTGGGCTCAGAATCTGGAACTTTTTCTATTTAGAATAAAAGAAAAGGAAATACTAATTTATGCTGCATTTGTTGAATTCCTAAATTAATTAAGACAATTTATTTGCAATATTTCAAAGGGTTTGCATCTGACCAACATTTGTAATCCCTGTCATTCCTGTAATGAATTCTAGGTATAGGATATAAAAGTAGTTTTTGCTGAAACAGCTTACAGAAAGAATAATCATGCTTCATGCTCTGAAGCATACAATAATGATTGGTAAAATTATGAAGGACCCTAATTATTGCATTACTTTATACAAAATACAGACTCTTTGGAAATACAATATAGGAGCAACATATTTGGGGTTTTTTTGTTGTTTTCTAACATCAGCGGAACTATCCATTTAACAGACTAATAATTGAAAAACAGAAAAAAAAATCAAATAACGGAAAAACACTTCCCATGCAATGATTCCATTGAATGCAACACTCCGGATTATTAAAAATGAGCTGGGTAGACTAAGCATAATCTAAAAAAACTCTGCTAAACAAAAACAGTTTGACACAAAGACCAGCTGACTTTTAATTATACTTTAATTGAAACCTATTTATCTAAATGAAAAGCCCACTATGAACACATGAACTACACTCACCATGCAGGCTGGGCAAACTCAAAGTATGTTTCGAAATGCGGATATACCTAAAATATGGGATTTTTTAAAAATTTTTTTTAAGGTTACAAGAACTGAACTAAACCAGTATATTTCAGATTTGGCAGGAGAGAGGAAGAGCTTGATAATACACTAAGTAATTCAGTACGTCATCCGTATGACCTTAGTCTGACTGCAGTTCAATTAGTCTATACCACCTGAATAATTTTTACAATGGAAAAAACATAATGTATAGCTCATTAGTTTCCTAATTATTTCCTCTTCCTCTGGGACAAATAAAAAGACATCTTTGCAGTTCATCTCTGAATAGGGCTGTGCATAATACTACTTCAAGAAACATTATCACAGATCTGCTGAATACAGTGATCAGCGTCTTCACCTATAGATACACCACAGCATCTGACACTGTTTTGACAGCATTTATTTTTTTACAATCTAATATATATTTTTTACAATCTAATAAAATAATCTGAAACAAAGAAAAGTAATATTAATTTATATTACAAGACACTGTAGTATAAATTTACAGCACTCCTCAACTATAAGTTAGCAATAACATTCATAAATATCAAGAACAAAGCCCCTAAATCAAAACAAAACTTAAAAAGAAACAGATTTTTAGAAGGCTGCAAAGTGCTATGAAAACATTAAGAACAAAACTCAACTGTTGCCCCCAAATTTCTTGCTATGAGTTCTGTTTTTTCACATCCCATCCTGAAGGGCAGACAATGCTAAATTTATGACAGCACAATTTCTCAGGTAGCTATCCCAGGTTCCTCTCACTCACATTAAATCCCCCATCGTTTCTCTACACAGCCTACTCTAGAAAGAAATAAAGAAATAAAAATTAAAAAAAATATGGTTTTTTTTCCTACCTGTAGATCCAATTTTATTTACAATGCCTTGAGAGAGAGAAAGATGTTATGGTACAGTTACATCAAACTATCTGACATCTATCTCCGCTCTTTGCTAAGACTAAGAATACAAAAAAAAAGTTACGCAAACTTTCACAATTACACACTAATTTTTAGAACCATCACAAAATGACAAAGAAGTTATCAACTTTAAAATACAGAAAAAAATTACATAGCTTTAAGAACAACGAAGTTACTAAAAATATATTTTTTACCGTACCTCTTTTAATTTTTTTCCCAGGCAGTTGATCTTTACAGATTATTTTAAAAAAATAATTTCTTCAGCCACGAGCCTTTGTATTTTATTTTTATTAAAAAAAAAAAAGTCACGCAAATGATAAAATATTTTGTTTTGGCCATTTGTTTCCCTCCTCCAAATTGACACTTTATAAAAACCTTCTGTACTTTTTTTCCCCCTCCCTCTCTCCCTCGCTATTACCTCCAAGATGGTAGGAAAGTTGTTGTTTTGGAGGGCAGAGGAGCCGCTCTCTGATGTTATGTCCTCTCAGTGCCTGTAGTGGTGCTATAGGAGGCTGCTGGCTCTCTTCTTGAGCAGCCCCAGCAGCCCTGCCTTCTTTGCTGGAGAATATATTCAGGGATTCCCCTTAATAATCACCTACCCTCTGAGCACTTTGTAGTTTTAAAATAATAAAAGAGCCCCCAAAGCTTCCTCCCCACAAAAAGCAGGATCTTCTCAGAGACAGGGGGGCAGCAGCTCCGCAGCACAGAGCCCGAGCACATTCCCAGTCCCTCTGCTGGGGAGGAAACTCTGATCTGTCAGCCCAACAGAGGGAAAGGGGGGAGAGGAGAGAGAGGAGGGAAAAAAAAGCAGCTGGAAAGGTAAGCCAGGCCCGGCCTGCATCCCCGGGCTCGCGTAGCGCGGCAGGCGGTGCGGAGGGCGCAGGGCGGGCGGGGAGGCGGGCTACGCGAGGCCGGGGATCGCTCGGAGCGGCGTAGGCCGCAGTAGGGGGTGCGGGGAGCCAGGGGGGTTTTTGAAGCTTTCGGGCGCCGGGAGGAGCGCCGGAGGGGGGTGAGACGGCCGCCGGGGCACAGCGGGAGGGTCGGGGCGCGGCGCCTTTGCCCGGGAGGTGAAGGGCGGCGGGGGAGAACGGGGGACAGAAGCAGATAGCGGGGCGAGAGGGCCGCGGGACGGGGGGACGGGGGCGGCATTAATTTGCCGAAATGACTTTTAATGAGCGGTGGCGGGGTGGGGGGGCACCCCCTCCCCCAGCCCGGTGCGGGGCCGCCGCGGCGGAGGCGGTGCCGGTCCCGCGGGGCTGCGCCGGCCGCGGCCTGGAAAGTTTCGCAGCGTTTTTGGGGTGCTTTACCCCCCCACCGCCGCCGCCGGCCACCCCCCGCCCGCGGCCGTGGGGACGGTGCCGGCGGGACGGGGGCACCTCGGAATGCGGCCGCAGGTTCCCCCCCGCCCGTCCCGTACCCCCTTTCCCCCCCGTCGGTGACCCCCTTCGGCCGGGTGGATTCGCCGCACAACTTTTTGGGAGGTAGTGGGGGGCGGTTTTGGGGGTGCGGGGAAGCCCTCGGAGTGTCCCCGCCGCCCCCTAAGCTGCCGGCACGTGCGGCCCGGGCCGGCCCCCGGAGCACGGAACGAGGGGCAGGGGCGAGGGGCTGCCCTGGCAGCACCTTCGGTGCCGGGCACATGCCGGGGCCGGCGGCTGCCTGAGCCCTGCCGGGGCCGGGCCGGGGTCCCTCGGCCGCCCCACTGTCCCAGGAGCCGTTAGCGGGACGGGAGGCACAGCCCGCCGGCACCTCTGCCCGGGAGGGGACGCCTCGGTAGCCCCTGCACGGCCAGGGCTCTGTCTGCTCCCCTCTCGTGTCCCTGCGGGCCGGGGTCCCGCTGGGCTGGGGGTCTGTGTGAGGTGCTGCTGCCCTCCAGGACCGAAAATGAAAGGATCCTTTTTTTCAGGGAAAAGAACGTCTGGTAGTTGTGAAGTGAGTGCACTGGAAGACCCAACATCGCACTTCACCCCGCACAGGTGAACTAGCTCCGGTTTCTAATGAGGGAGGTGGCACGTTTCAGTCAAATATTCCTTAATGTCTTTTAGGTCAAAATTGTAATGGCTTTGTACAAGTAACCCCAAGTGAATTTTGGAAGTGATAGTGACACTCACCTTAAAGCCTTATGTTATACCATCTGATTAAAATACATAGAGTTGGTTCTAACTTTGTTACTCAACAACGTGCAATGCAGGTTTATTTTAAGGTCTTTCAGATTTTGAGGGTTGGGAGACTTTAAAATAAAATTGACAAAATTAGGGCAATGCACTGTTCCCCTGCAGACAGGTGCCCTCCCCTATGGGCTCACCATAGTAGTGACAGTGTTCCATGCCCAGGCCATACCCACCAGGTACCACTGCTCATGAACTGGAGCACTTGTGTTCTCTGTGAAGCTGTCACTTGCAAACTGGTGACATTCAGTCTCTTTTGCATGAATTGTTTGTAATACATACCAAGATCACACAAGTTTTATTAATTGTAAAGCTAAATTATTTACAGAAAGCAACATGAAATTTACCTACTGGGGGTTATTTTGATGTTCAGTATTTTTGTGATGAGTGATTGAATTTGTGTGGAGGACCTGGTCCTACAGAACTGTGTGTACCATGTTCTCATGGTATGGTAAATCATCAGGAGGTACAAATTTATTTTAAGACCACACTGAAACTCAAATAGCTTATACCTGCTGAAAGGCTCCTCTGTGAGGAGCTCTATTGGTTTATTTATTGAGTATTCCTACTAAAGCAAGAATGATATTGTATAGTGAGAAAATAAGTTTATTTGTCTTTGTAGTATTGGGACTAAAAATAAGACAAAGGTATTTTGTTTAACCTCATCTGGAAAGGCAGGCTATCTGTTATTTGAATAAATAAAAGACTTGGACTTAGTTTTTTTTTTCCCCAAGTACAGATGCAAGGTGTGTTGTGGTATGTTTAATCTCTAGTTCATCTCAGGATATTGCTTTTGGTATTTTGAGATAATGTTTTTAAAGTACATTTCTGCCATGTTGCAGTGTCATAAACGGTCCATTTGTTGCTGTACCTGAAGGCTGCCTCTTTGCAGCCCTGCTCATCCTGGCAAAACCCAGGCCTGTTTATAACTACATTGAAATAACTGTGCATGACAACCTCCCTCTGAGGATGTGATAGCAGGACTGGGGCCTGGAGACCTGCTCAAATAGAGAAATCCTTGTTCAAAGGACTTTCAAGATACAGAACCCATCTTGAACCTTAGGTCAGGAATAGCCGTGTTTAGGAAATTACGTGTTTGAAATCTGTAGGAATGTACTCTTGGTAGTAGTTAGAAATTTTCCTATGTAAGGTCTTTTTTCTTTAGAAATCCTCTGAAGTTTCTAAAATACGTAATCTGAAATGTTTGTTGTTTTTTAGAGTTAGGGCTATCTTTGTCAGGTTTTCTGTAAGATACTATGAGGTACAGATGAGTGAATCAGCTGAAATTAAAATTCCTGCTTAAGTTCATGTGGTGTAGGAAAACAAAAAGAACCTGTTCAGTTTGTGAGCAGACTTCTTATTTTCCTCCTCCTAGTTATGTTTTCTGCTCTTTATTCTAACCAGTTACAAGTCTGTAAGTTCTCCAGCTGTTGCTGTTATTAGGAATAATGCTTAAGTTTAATTCTGTATTTCTTGTGTTATATTCTAAAGCATAATCTGTTTCACCAGTGTTGCCTAAAACATTCTGCTGCATTTCTGTTAATGTATTGGACATCCTTATGCAATGTAAACTGCCTTTTGCCAGAACTGAAGTAACAAGCTTTCTAAAAAGGCAGAATGAGGGCAATATTGCTTCTTTCTTCTTAGGTAGATCTTAACATATGGAAAACAGTAGTCCAAAATACAATTCCAGGTGGTAACTAAAAATATCTTGTAAGATCTTAACATGTTGAATGCCTTGATCTGTCAGGGTACTTGCATGTGTGTTGCACTACCTGCACTTCAGAGGCCTTCCTGGGTAAGGACTGTACTCTAGTTAATGAAAGTGTTCTGTACAGGAACTCTGGTAGCTGGCTTTGGTTGTTTCCCAGTGTCCTCTGTCTCAATTTGAGTGTTTTTACTGACAAAAAGTCTCTTGTTTCTACAATTACAGCATTCTTAGTTTGGTAGCTGAGTGTGGTAGAGAATTGAGCTGTTAAAAGACTGATACTAAGCCAAACTTATGGTTAGATCACAGCATAGGGGCAAAAGTTATAACTTTGTGGTGTTGATGTTGATCACAATTAGATGTGGTACAGCTTCTCTTGATAGAACAAAACATTTCAAAGAGAGGTATTAGTTGCTATGAAATAGAGAAAATGAATGTTTTAGATTCATACTTAGAAGTACACTTTTTACTAACACTGATTGAAAAGTTTTGCTATAAAATAGCTTTAAGTGCCTGTCTTTTTGTTGTGAACTTTATGGCTTCTGTTCATATTGGAATGGATGAAATTCCATGCTTCCAAACATCTTGCACTCCGCATGTTTGCTCAGTTTCAGGAAATGGGTCTGACAGTGACAGGTACTTGTTCTTTCTTGGTCAAGTGGAAATGACAAAACTAGTATTTATGTTATTTGTGCTTGTGGAGAAGCTGAGATTCTTTTAGATCCATGTTCTACTTCTGTCCCCAAGCTGATGGTTTTGGGAATCTATGGAGATGATTGTACCTTGTCTGTGAGATGTCATGAACACACCAAGCAATTTAACATGAAATTTAGGCTACTATTAGCAAATGCAAACAACACAGTAAAGACCTCTGTAGTTGTGGATTTTGTTTGGATGCAGTGTGTGAAGCTCTGAGCTCAGTCCTCTTAATTATACATCTTTTAACCAGCAGCATATAATTGCCTTGCAATTTACAATGCATTTGGGGATTCCATTGCCTAAAAGGGTCTTACGTACATTGAATGTCAAGTTCTGAGCATATGTTTAAGAATGTATCAACCCACATGATTTAAAATACTCTAATATTTTCAGCACAGCATTTGTGCAAAATTACCCATCTGAGTTTTGAGGCTCTAGTGCTTTGGGCTTTCTATTAGTGAGTAAGCCTTTACCTTCCCTGTAGACTACTCACAATGTCAGGTACCAGATTTCTGTATGACATAATGCTGCTACTTGGGTATGGTATAGTAAAGATCATCCTCCAAAGTTTGCTGCTGCACTGTTTTCCAGCCTCTCTGAAGGACTGTTTAACT